GATGTTATGCTCCCACTAGAAAATCAGAGACTTGTTTAAGTCTTTTAATTCTAAATAGAGACTTGTTTACATCTATAAGAAAATCAGAATGAGTAACCTACAAAACCCGAATTCATCAAATTACCTTGAAGATTACAACATCTCACAAACATTTTGTTCAGTTATTGCAGCTTAGTTCAGTTTCTTCAATACATAAATAAAAGACATGCGGAAGTAGCTAAATCCTATTACAGTAGACAAAGGAGCTGATGATAAATACCTTTAATCTTATCAGTGGTAGCTTCTAACGCAGCTTAACTCAAACACATTGTCGCTCACCATAGCAATCTAGTGGTAATATATGCTTATGCCATATAGAGCTTTCTTCATTCTTTTTGCAGCTTGAACGAATCCTACAATCACCTGAAGCTCATCCATTTGCTGTGAACCAGAGACAAAACAAGTTTAGAAACATAGGTGTTACCTTCTTTACCCATTTGAAGAACATGTAATGTTACCTGAGCCATGAACTGTCTTTGAACAATGTCAATTAGTTGCTCCTTTGATGTATTATGAAAAACATCCACCTAACAAAATAAGAGTTCGATCACAGTGTTATCAAAAACAAGAACTATCTTCCACAATTAGCAATTACATAACTCACAAGGTTAAAAGGTCGTCAATATCGCAGTTACTTGACCAAATAACAAACAATAAAAAATCCATAATCTAACAAGTTACTTGAGCAATTTCGTTTGTCTATTAGCCTTGACTAATTTCAATCGAATCGGTACCAAAATTTTCAGCAGTAGGCGTAGCCTTTTAACCATGAATTGATTCACCAAGAAAACAATCGGAAACACCATAAGTCGATTCAATTTCAAACAAAAGTAATCGATTCAGATTACCATCTGATTTCTGCAAACTTAAACCACATAATCGAACTTTCTAATCTTATAAATTACAACCAGAAAACGCAAGAGAGAGGACTTATTGATGAGAAGGTTTTCTTCTATGCAAATAAAACCTAACCAAGCTAACAACCTAACCCATGATTCAATTGCAGCAAGTGAAAGGGTTCAAACACAGGGAAGGCAAGGACCTATTGTACTAGACCAAAGAGTATTTCAGTTAATCTAAAGCATCAAAAGGAGTTTGGGTAAGTTACTCTAAACTAATCAGAAATGTAAAAATACTGACAATGCACAAAACAGAGATGTAAACATGTCTGCTGAAACAACCCAACCCG